CTCTCCTAGACAGCATCTTGATCTCCTCAGCGAACAGTACAACACCTTCGTTAGGGTGTTGCATTCCCGTCTCCAACAAAAGGGCGGCTCGTTCTTTCCGCACAACCGTAGCGAATGTTTTGAGGAATTCGCTCTTAAAGACAGTCCAGTCGGTTAGGGAGCCTTCATGGTTCTCAAACCACGTTCGAGCTGCATCCTCCAAATAGAAGAAGACATGACGAAACGTTTCTTCGTCATCCCACCTGTTAAAGATGCGGATGCGCTCCAGCTTCTCCGGCCACTCTCCCGGTCTTCACCAGGAGATCCTCGGAATGATGGGGGCTCACGAGGTTGTTGCAGAACGACGGGAGGGTTGGTAGCGCTGGTCATGGTGCCTGCGTTGATCATCGTGGTTTTTACGTCTTCTTCCCTTTTTTTATCCGGGAGCAGTCCAAACTCTGGCTGAAGGCCTTGCTGTCGGCGGCTGAGACGAGTTGGGCGTGCTTGTCGGCTGGCAATGGCTTAGGGTTCATGTACCCCGCACCTCCACCAGATGTCACGCAGGAAAGGACGACGCAGTTGTCTATGAGGAAAACAAGTTTATTGGAGTGAACCTGTGCTCCCCTAACAACTGAAAAAAATACACAGGCGGCGAAGCAGTGGCCAGCAAAACGACGGGCACGCTAGTGAGCGTCGGCGATCGCATGACGCGGCATCGGCTGTGCGGGAATTTATATCCTTCGGTGCGAGGGTTTCTCGAATAGTCGAATTGTATCGAGAACGCCGTGATAGCGTTTGTTAGAAACGCTGTTCGTTCGAACAGCGCTTCCAACAAACAACGCTTGAAGCGTTGTTCGATAGCGTTTGTTCGAAACGCTGTGGTAGCGTCTGTTCGAAACGCTGTGAAAACAGCGATAGCACAGGCCGGCGCAGCCAGGCCGAAAAAAACAAAACACAAATAAACAAACCCAATGCATGGTTCGCGGCAATATATGCAAATGGAAGTCGACCCCAGTGATCGTGAAAAAACCGCTTTCGTGACGCCAGATAGGCTGTACGATTATAAGGTTTTACCATTTGGCTTGTGCTTCGCGCCTGCTTCATTCCAGAGTCTCATGGATACCGTTCTCTCTGGGCTTAAATAGAAAACCTCCCTAGTATACCTTGACGACGTCATTGTGTTTTCTACAACGTTTGACCAACACCTTGAATGATTGCAGGTATTCTTGCAGGCCATACGGGCCGCAGGCCTGACACTCATGCCAGGGAAATGTCACTTCTGCTTTGAGCAACGACAGTTTCTTGGCAATGTCGTCAGTCACGCAGAAGTTCGTCCAGATCCAGAGAAAGTTGCCACCGTCGCAGTTTCCAACACCATCAGATAAAAAGTAAGTCAAGTGTTTTCTGGGTCTTTGTGCATATTATCGGTGGTTTATTCCAGATTTTGCGCGCATTTCGTCGCTTTTAACTCGTCTCACGAGGGATTACGTTGCATTTGTTTGGGGCAACGAACAGGAAGCTGCTTTCAATGACTTGCCGCAACGTCTACACATGACCCCCGTGCTTGCCCATTTTGATGAGACAGGCCCTACAGTGCTCCATGGTATAACTGTCAGTTCAAGCGCACGAATAAACAGAAAGGAAGAGAGGACCATACTCCATACTAACGCCAGCAATTGGGGTCTCGGAGCTGTGCTTGTGCAGTGCCGAGACAGCGAGGAAAAATGATCTCTTACGCACGCAGAACTCTGTCATGCACAGAAGCAAATTACTCGACTACTGAAAAGGAATGCCTCGCAGTGGTGTGAACAGTTATGAAATTTCACGCATACTTGTACGTCCGCCCATTCAAGGTTATCAGTGACCACCATTCGTTGTGTTGGTTAACGAGTCTGAAAAATCCTTCTGTGCGATTGGCACGCTGGAGCCTTAGACTACAGGAATTTCAAATAACGATGTTGTGTAAGTCCAGAAAACGACACACGGACGCCAACTGCCTGTCTCGATCACCAGTAGATTCAGCTGCTTCTTTTTATGAAGAGACAGCGTTCCTCGGAATCCTCGACACGTCAACCGTCGCAGATCACCAGCATGACAATGCTGAGCTACTTGGCTTGATTAATTATTTAGAAGGACGAAGCCAGAATGCGCGCAAAGCCTTTGCAAGAGGACTATCGTCGTTCTGTCTGCAAAACAATGTCCTTTACAAAATGAACTTCCCGCCATACGGGTCCACCTGCCTGCTTGTCGTCCCTACAGCTCTTCGTTCTGATGTATTGCAAACGTTCCACAACGAGGTCACATCTGGACATATAGACTACACGCCCACACTGGGCAGAGTTCGAGGGGGTATTACTGGCCTAGATTCACTGCTGCCGTGAAGCCTCATGTTTAGACCTGCCTCGATTTCAAGCGGCGCAAGTCACCTCCAACGAAACCAGCGGTTTGCTACACCCTGTACACATCCAGACAACGCCAATTTACCAGATCGGAGTGGCCCTTTTGAGCCCACTTCCCGCCTCTAGTGTTGGTAACCACCGGGTTATAGTGGCGACCAACTACCTTAATTGCTACGCCGAGACAAAAGCCATCCAGAGAGGCACAGTAAAGGAGGGGGCCCGGTTCTTCATAGAAAACATTGTGCTGAGACAGGGTGCGTCATCCATTGCTATAACAGATCGCAGAATCGCATTCACGACTGCGCTTTTAGATCATGTGTTGGTGCTCAGCAGTACTATTCATCGCAAGTCGACAGCTTACCATCCACAAACCAACGGGTTGACCGAGCGACTCAACGAAACTATGGGAGACATGCTTTCAATGTATGTGGACATCGAACACAAAACTGGGACGAGATTCTTCCTAACATTCGCATACAATACTGCGAAACAATAAACCACACGGATGACCCCTTTCAGCTTTGTTCACGGACGAGAAGTAAGAACGATGTGTGACGCGATTCTGCCACACGATTGCGATGACAACGAAACGAGTGCTGACACGTTTACTCAACGTGCAGAGGAAGCCAGGCAGCTCGCACGTCTGCGAATATACCAACAGCAAGAGTACGACGCAGGCCGCTATAACTTACGTCATACACCTGTAGCGCACGAAATCGGGGACAGGGTATGGGTGTGAACGTCTGTACGAAGACGGGGACTATCCTAAAAGTTGCTCAAAAGGTACTTCGGACCTTATCGAGTGCTGCGATGACTAAGTGACGTTACCTATGAAGTCGTCCCCGATAGCCCAAATTGTACACTGCGTGGCCGGCACCGACGTGAACGTGTGCACGTAGTGCGCATTACGTCATACATCAGCGAGTGACTCTGCGAGGCACCATCGCTTGTACTTAGTTACTTTATGCGCGAATCACTGGCTCAGCTATAGCATCGGGCGATGCTCTTTTAAGGGGAGGCAAATGCCGCGCTCGAAACAGAGAACGAAGACGATATGCGCGCCAACAGTCTCGTGAAAAGGGACACTGAAGAAGACGACGTGCCCTTGTTAGCTCTCTTGCTCTTGGCTCCTGCATAAAAGCACACGCCGTCGGTTCTCGAACTCAGCGTCTCGGCGATCTGCTTACGTTGAACAGCGACAGACACTCGCTTAGTGGACCTTTCAGGGCTGATCAGGTTGAGCTAGCTCCAAAGCGATTCCGTGTCTATCTGGTAATGGGTAGCAACCATCAGAAACTTACAATGTCCAATACAACGGATGAGACCCACAAACAGTGCCGGCTGCATGCCGTTCCAGCTACTTTAATACGGGTTCATCACGGGCAACTCCACTGCTAAAGATTCGGCGCTAACCCATAGAAAATTTCTCATGCGCCACTGATCACCACCACCAGTGTCGCGTTCGCCCTTCGACGCATGAGTAACCTGGTACTCGTCCACCACTACGCAAAGTCTTCGAGGCAAAACAGGTTGGCACCACTGCTCCTGTATTCCTTTTAATGTGCTCTTGGACTTTACCTCAACGAGTACACCCTATCACAGCAGATTCAATGAAACCACTATACGCCATGACGATGACACTGATGATGATGTAGATGATGATGATGACCGCGGACAAGGACAAAGAGTGGCTTGTGCAGTACATGACGCCTCGATATATTCTACGAAACCTTTTGTATGACTGCAAACAACTACTACCAGGAGAACGTGCCCAGGCCTCGTCTTTGCTAACTTCAGGCTAGATCCGATATCACGTAGCAGTAATAATGCAGGCAAATTGAAATTTACAACTGAACTCAATATACCAGTTATGACCAAAAAGCGTTTTGTGTAACCGTACACCCCTCGGCACCCGTTTTGATGCGTGAGTGGCCAATATCACGAGTGATTTACGGAAGAACCGAACGGATCCACTGCTTCACCCACTAATCTCCATTGAGACCGTTGATATGCCATGATTTTTACGATGAGCTGGCACTTGTGACATGCGGATGGCACATGGCTGCAGGAATGCCTGGTTTTCAAGATAACGTTGTTAGTGCCACCTGTTTGCCATTCCACGGTTTTCAGTGGGCTCTCTGGCACCACTCATGAGCCCAAACAGTATTTTTCGGCGTGTCATGTCATGTGTAGCCTCTTGTGGCTTTGTTTTAAGCGTGAAGGTGTCTGAGCTAGAGGTTGAGTGGATAATGGTTTCTACAAAAACAGAGCCTAGCAAAGCGTGGAGAGGAAGAGACGAGAAATATATATAAAACACCTATATTTTTTGCGAGGCGGGATAGAAAACACAACGTATCCTTCTACAGTACGGTGTAACAAAAATATGTGAGAAAAAATGACAGCAAAGTTAAATTAGAGCACAGGATGCGTGAGAAGGAAATGCCAGCAAGTGCACCGGTTCTTGAGACCTCGCACCACTAACACGTAGCTTCTTCGTTTTTCGTGCTCTTTGGTGGCGTTCATAAATAAAAAAAATATTTTTACAGCCAGACAGTTCTTTAATGAAACTTTTCTGCTACGTATTTCGCATCTTATAGCATCTCACAACTACTAGGGCCATACCTAGGGTCCACGTTGGCTGTAGCTTCATCCATGACGAGTATTTTATTCTGACGTAGCACAGCCCTGGCGAGGCAAATGAGTTGGCGCTGACCCACGCTGAAATTGCCGCCGCCTTCACAGACTTCAGTAGAAAGACCACCTGGAAGGTCTTCGATGGAGGCCTTCAGGCGCACCTGCGCACGTTCCAAAGTAAAGCATTATACAAACAATTTCCGAAGGTTCCGGGAAATATTTTGCTTTAAATTTATCAACATATACTTGGCTATGTCAGTGCACTCTTAGCACTCATAAATATGGCTATACTAATATAAATGCAAAGCACAACCAAAAACTATAATTGAACTTCAAACACACATAGTGTGTTACCATGTTTATGCCAAAAAAGAGTGATGGAATCAAACTTTTTGTATTGGGATTTCTTTAAAACGCGGCACAGATTGACGGATTTCAACAGTTCACAGTACTTTAGCATACAAAAATGTGCTGCAAGTAAAGGGAGAGCCAGCTTTCTACAGAGTGTTGGTTTTCGAGACCAACGCTGATTATAGACCCGCACTGTGGATGGGCCAAGTCACAGCTACTAAAAACTAGCCTGGTTTAGGAAAGCAAGTTCTTTCGCAGACAGAAGGTAAAGCTTAGATAGATGAACTTGAAGCCATTATTAGGAAAGACATCAAAACTGCACAAGGGCTTCCCCCGAACACCTCTACGATTAAGCTTCTTGGGCCGGCCGTCTCCAACACTTCAGATAAGCTAATAGAAGCTACCACGATGTCACAGCACCAAAGGCTTTCGAGAAGGAGAACTGGAAGGAAAATTATGGGGCACCTCAGATTCGAGCCCACGGATCGTTCCAGATAGACAGCTAGCATACCTATACCAACTAGGGCCAGATTAAATATTACACTGCCGAAAAACATGCAACCGGCGTTCCACGAAGGCAGACGCAAAGCAAGAGATGTAGCCCGGCAGACGACACGGGAAGGTTAATCTGGCGTGCTTTAGACGGATGCTGCAGAATACAAAAAAGGGAGCATACACAGTGGTAGTAGTTCGCGAGAGCGTGGACCTGGTCTCGTGCTGCACCCATAAGAACACAATCGCCGCAGAGGCAGAACTTGCAATTGCTTAGGCAATAACACAAAACAGGCACACGAGTGATTGTTAAGAACGCTATTTGAGTCATTAAAACGGTGATAGGGGCAGAATCTCTCCTACAGCCGCCAAAATTCTAAGACAAGGACCAGTACCTGCAGAGCGAATCTCACTGATATTATCCCCGGCCCATCAAGGTCCGAAGGGGCCCCGCCGCGCTGGTCTGGTGGCTAAGGTACTCGGCTGCTGACCCGCAGGTCACGGTATCGAATCCCGGCTGCGGCGGCTGCATTTTCGATGTAGGCGGAAATGTTGTAGGCCCGTCTGCTCAGATTTTAGTGCACGTTAAAGAACCCCAGGTGGTTCAAATTTCCGGAGACCTCCACTACGGCATCTCTCATAATCATATGGTGGTTTTGGGACGTTAAACCCCACAAATGAATGAATGAATGAATGAAGGTGTGAAAAGTAATGAGAAGGCGCACGCGATCACCCGAGAGCTCACTTTCCCGTCGGTCACTACTAGCTCGCTGCCTCTTCTCGAGCAATCCCTCTCCACAAGAGACGAACTACGAATGTTTCAGGAAATCACTTCACATTTTAAATTTCAGCGTACGATTTATTCAGAGAAAACTAAACAGTTGAACAAAAAGAAAGAAAGTATGTGGCGAAAATTGCAAACCGGGGTGTTTCCAGACCCTCACCCGTACAGTAAATGGCACCGGTAAGTATTTAACCCCAGATGTGGGCACTGCAGTAGCACTGCAGGTTTAGTGCACATGGTCTGGACCTGCCCGATCTACAATGATCTAAGTAGGAACGTAGAAACCTGGGAGGCGTTATTACACAGCCACAACAGCGAAGAGCAGCGTCAAGTCATCGGTCTCACCATGACCGGCGTCGAGTCCCAAGGGACTCCGGCTGATAGCTAGGGGGATGATCGGGGCCTGGCCGAAGCCTTCTCCCCTGTCATTCTAGACGTGTGCAAATAAACGATATTTATCTCTGTCTCTTCGTAGACAGAGCAACCGGAGGGCAGCATGTGACGCTCTCATATGAAATATTCTCTTCGGCTGGCTTCGAAACGTTTCCCCTAACACTCCAGCTACATTTTTACACAAAGTAGCAATGCCCTAAACAAACGTTTGCAAGCATATCCAGTGCAATGAAGACAGAGATCTTCATCGCAATATCGGACCAACATTTACACATGCTCTCTTAGTCTATGCATCTCCCAGCCTGCCAATCGTAAATGTCAGCATATTCATTGAGCAAGCAATACATGAAATTCTTTGTGCATGACACAATGGGACTGATGCTTCTTTTTACATCATGCACGTGTCTTAGCATATGGATCGGTGACCTTGCGTATGCTGTGTTATTTTTGTTTTTGAAATGTTCTGAGCAGAGCTTCCGTAAGTTAGATATATCAGCGGTGGTGGCGGTAAAGTCCCAGAAAATGCTCATACTGACGAGCATGCGAAAATGTGGGTAGACACATCTAGGCTTCCGTATATGTTTTGGTGAATTTAGAAAATTTGAAATTTTCAATCTGTTTAGCAGTGATGATAGCTTACAAAAACGGTGCTACAGGATCGCTATTGTAAAATCAGCCTGAGGAACTCTCATGGTTGCTACCATACATATTGTAATGATATATCATGACAAGCTTGGAATCAGCAAAAGCACGTACTTGAAATCTTTTTCGCAACAGCGTCCCCTCGATCTTTCCACCCAAAAAAAAAAAAGGTCAGCGAAATCTTGTGCAAAACTAACTCTTACACGAATTCTTTTTCTCCCGGACAATCCCAGATTGCAACCGCTTGCTTAAAAAAATAATCGAGTGCCCTTCTGTTTCCGCGTTCACTGCCGCAATTCAAGGGACGTAATGATAGCGCTTTATCACTAGTGCTGTAGCAACGTGTCATAAGAGCTTCGCTTATGAGTCACTTAGCTCAATATATTCTTTTTTTTTATATCTCTGATAATACGTAGTGTGTTACACCTCTGATAATACAGAGTATGTTTAACGTAAAATTCACACAACAGACACTTGTTTTTTTCTTTTTCCATGATTTCAAGCGTTAGACAATGCACTTTAGAAAAATTCACTGCATACGTTGGCATACTCATTTTTCACCAATACATATCGTATTATTATTGTACTGCAGTCCGACATCTCACACGCCATTTGATTGTTTGTGGTGTTTTGTTTGTAAGGTCTTTTTATTGTTGAAGTTCGTTTCCACAGAAAATGTAACGCCTCCACTCCTGCCTAAGGCCTGATCATTCAGGTCAGCAAAATTTAATAAATAAAATAAATAAACATTGTATTGTACAAAAATATATGAACGATATAAAGGGCGAAACATATATTATTCAGTGGTTAAAGTAACTTCAGTAAGAATGAAAATGTACAAAGCGAAAAAAAGAACAAAAGAAAAAACAAACAAACGATCAATATAACATGCACTAGTTTCTCATGCTACAATACGAAAGAACAGTTGAGAGATGAAGTAACTTGTGGAAAAACGTGGTTGAATCCTCCATCTTAGGAATATGTGAACATGAAAGTAAAACATGCCGTGGCAGAATTAGTAGAATCTTTCCTCTGCATTGATGTAAGAGAGCTTGTACAATGTCTTTGGGCCCCATACACTGATTAGAAGGTGTTTGCACAGTCCTGTGTGAAATTCACTGACACTGACGATGAAAACAGACGCGCGCACACGTCCAATTTGTAGCACGGCTACCGTCTGCCCACTCACGCCGGCAGGAAGACGAACGCATTGTGTTTCATTTCTACCAGCCCAGATATGTCTCAATATATGTTTTATATTTGAAAAATTCCGTGGCAAACTACGGGAACATATATATATATATATATATATATATATATATATATATATCGGGGCCTGGCCGAAGCCTTCTTCCCTGTATATATATATATATATATATATATATATATATATATATATATATATATATATATATATATATATATATATATATATATGTATATATCCTTGGCAATATTGTCTGGCAAATCTCATTAACATTGTGAAAAACAAGGAAAAACGAGCCATTAAGTACACATTTCTTTCCTAAATAATTAACAAGGGTCTCGTACTGGCATACTTGGTGCCTTTGGGTTGTATACGAGGGACTATTCGCCAGCTGCCCACTCGTAACACGTTCACGTGCTACGTGACGCCAAACAGGCTCAAAAAGAGTGTGCCACACTCGCCGCCATGGCTACTGGTGGCGCTGACTGACACTGCCACGTTTAAATTCACATATAAACCCAATTAAGTGGCTGGGGGGATAGCTGCCATGGTACCTCAGTGGTAGAGCATCGAACGCGTCATTAGAAGGTCACAGGTTTGGATCCTGCCCGTGCAAGGTATCTTTTCACCCACTTTTATTTCTTCATATTTACAATACAATTTGGTCTAATATCTTCCCTTTTACTTTCCTTGGCATTAATGACTGTTGAATCTCATTAATATTGTGCAAAACACAGAAAAACGAGCCCTTAAGTACACACTTCTTTCCTTAAATAATTAACGACGGCCTCGTACTGGCAGACTTGGTGCCTTTAGGTTATATACGAAGGAATATTGGTCAGCTACCCACTCGTAACAAGTTCACGTGCTACGTGACGCCAAACAGGCTCAAAAAAGTGTACCACACTCGCCGCCATGGCTACTGGTGGCGCTGACTGACACTCCCACGTTTAAATTCCCATATAAACCCAATAAAGTGGCGGGGGGGATAGCTGCCGTGGCAGCTCTGTGGTAGAGCATTGAACGCGTCATTCGAAGGTCGCAGGTCCGGATCCTGCCCGTGCAAGGTATCTTTTCACCCACTTTTATTTCTTCATATTTACAATACAATTTGGTCTAATATCTTCCCTTTTACTTTCCTTGGCATTAATGACTGTTGAATCTCATTAATATTGTGCAAAACACAGAAAAACGAGCCCTTAAGTACACACTTCTTTCCTTAAATAATTAACGACGGCCTCGTACTGGCAGACTTGGTGCCTTTAGGTTGTATACGAGGGACTATTGGTCAG